AAACGCCTCGGGTTTGTTTGCAGTCTGAGCCGGGTACCCCATGAGGAGACACTCGCTCCGTCCTATAACCCGTTGCGAGATACTCCCACGAGGAGCCAACTCCCTCGGATCTACGAAACCACAGCGAGATAACTCCTACGCGGAGAAAACTCGCTATGTCCTACATCGCGCAGTGAGACAACTCCCATGAGGAGCAAACTCGCTCAGTCCTACAACCAGCAGCGAGACAACTCCCACGAGGAGCAAACTCGCTCTGTCCTACATCCAGCAGTGAGACAACTCCCATGAGGAGCAAACTCGATCGGTCCTACAACTAGCAGCGAGACAACTCCCACGAGGAGCAAACTCGCTCTGTCCTACATCCAGCAGTGAGACAACTCCCACGAGGAGACAACTCGCTCGGACCTACAACCCCTTGCGAGGAAAATCCCACGAGAAAGCCATTCGCTCGGTACTACGAACCAGTTGAGTTATTTGCTTATTGGTAGATTTTGCTTGAGGACAAGCAAAAGTTCAAGTTTGGGGGTGTGTTAAGTGTATATTTTTACACTTTATCGTATCTTTTTATTTGAGCTTTTGGTGTGTTTTAACGATAATTGGTGCTTAAAAAGTTGATTTATCGTATTTTAGGTACAAATTGAAGAATTGGAAAAGTATAGGGTCAAAACTGCAATTTTGGCGAAAATATGGGTCAAAACTGAAAATATCAAAATTCTGAAGAAACAATGCTGAGACCCCCGTCCCAGTTTTAGGCTAAATCATGGGACCCCCGTCCGAGACTCCGAAATTGCGCAGTAAAGGAATTTTAATTGCACAAGGAAACTGCCTTCTTCCCCAAGTTCTTCACCCTATATAAGACCAAGCCAAGCACACAATTGGGGATCCATCTTTGGACGCAAAATCAAGAGCAAAGAAGATCAACGAAGATTCAAGCATAGTTTTTCTTATTTAATTTATTTATTTTATTTTATTTATCATAAGAATTACGAGTAGCTAAGTCTTTATTTCTAGGATTTTATTTGGAACCCTATGTGGGATTTATGAACCCTTTTCTATGATTTTATGCAAGTTTTAATTCCGGATTATTTCTTCTACTTGTTTTATTAAGTGCATGAACTTGATCAACTTATGTGCTTTTATGTTATTGTTAATCGCATGAATCGGAAGATCGGGTTAATAATTAGAACTGTGGTAGAAGAGCCTTTGTGGTATTAACATAGGAATATAGTTAATCTCTTAGGTAGCCATTATTGAGATTTGTGCTTAATGCTGTGTTCTAGAATTAATTGCATAGGAATATAGTAATTGAATCTAGAGTATTAGAATCGTAATACACGCGGAAGCGGGTTATGATTATATTAGCATCTCAGGTTAATAATCCGGATTAATTGCTTGTATAATTGAAGGAATTGGGGGAGTAATAATCACATAGGGGGAAGAATAAAATCCTAGGCTTGTCTACTTTGATTAATCTTCGTTTTTAAATTGCTTTCGTGTTCTTGTCTTTTTAATTTGCTTTTTAATATAGTTTAATTTAGTTAATCTTTTCCAAATTCGACTGTGTAGGGTGGGCTTGAAAACAATTGGTCGAATTTAGCGTCTAGGATTAGATAATTAAATATTCTCTGTGGGATCGATACTTGGACTTAAAAAATCCACTTTATTACTTGTACGATACGTGCACTTGCGTGTAGGTTTTCGACCAACAATAACTCCCACGAGGAGAGAAATCGCTCAGAGCGACATCAATCCGCACACTCGTCAGTCGCGCGTCATCCAATAATTCTACAACTTCGCTGCGAGACAACTCCCATGAGGAGACAACTCGCCCGAACTTCACTATATAATCGCAAGCTCAAGTTAGCACGACTACAACCCTAGAAACACTTAGAAATATTATGGGAATCTATATAGCCTGGCCAGCTTGATTACTCAAATTTATCTACTTGTTTTCGATGGGTCATTCATTAAAACGTGGCCACGGTCCAAACATACTTACGACCCACGAGGTCTAACAAAGGGCACGATCCCCATATAAAAATCTTGAGAGTCTGATCCCCTCCTCAAGTATATCACGCACAAGGCTATATGTAAACACATACAAGCAACGCGTCACAACATTGACAATGTCGATAAATAACAACTCCCACGAGGAGAACACTCGCTATGTGCTACTACATTATCGCGAGACAACTCCCACGATGAGATAACTCGATCAACTCTATTACCCCGCGACGAGACAACTCCCACGAGGAGATAATTTGATCCGAGCTATTACATCGTCGCGGGACAACACCGACGACTCAAGTAACTTACATCGCGACAACTTGGTTGCGCTACGCGCCAACGCGCCTTCACGCCCCTCCGACACACGCTCCGATGCGTTTTCGCACACCATTAGGCCATACGCCAACAATCGACTTCTACAAATTTTACTCTCGACACGATCTGACACCCATTTCAACATGGCCCCTACATCGAATCGAGAGTGGGGGGCTTAATGATATGCATAATTGGGTCAACCCAATGGGCCTACAAATTACTTACCTACTGGGCCACGAGCCCAATATCGAAGACCACTATCACCGAGACCCAATCACCTTCAAGTAAGGTTTGGGCCCGACAATCTCAACTAAGCTATAAATAAAGGTTTGAATTCATTCCTTAAGGTACGTCCTATTAACTGAGCAATACTACAATACGTATTCTCTGGACTATTTCTATGATCAGAAGGGGAACTTGGAGGGAGTGAGGGGTTTCCGCCGGATCAACCCCCGGCGTAGTTCACGTGTGTTCTATGATCGCATGTACCTCAGGATCATCAAGTTGTCAAGCTACTGATCCGCTTTGCTCTCCCAGTTCGTTTTCTACACTACCCCAGGTGATCTAAGTAATTAGCATCATCAGTCTTATTATTGTCACACACAGCTGCTCTCTGTTCTGTGCCATTTTTCTGCAACATGAATGAAACCTCGTTTTTCGTTCCGTTTTTGCAGTTTTTTTTTTTTTTTTTTTTTTTTTTAAAGAGGGGGCCGGGCTGTAATCACATACATCTCGGGTACATGACCTGTACCTACAACTCTGTAGCTAATTTTGTCGTTTTCCCTTCTAATTACGCAACTATCAAGAATTCTTTGGATTACTGATTTACTGTTAATCTCCCGCAAATTAATAGTTAACAAATATATTTATATATTATTAAAAAAAAATATGTATCTATTATTCTATTCATATAGACATAAATGGGCCTGGCATTTATAAACTACTTAATTGTTTTTACAACTCAAGGCCCACTAAATATGGCATGGCTTAACAAATAATAACATGCCAACTGAATGAACCAATGGGCTTCAAAACCCCATAAAGTTAATATAAGATACAAACTACTTAAATAATACACCTTAATCAATCTACGGTTAGTGTTCTATGTTATACTCGGTGAATTTCTTCGAATTATATTCTACTATTCACATGTACAGATCAACGCAAATTTCGCACACAACGATTTATATATATATCTACGTCTACAACGCAAACCAAAAGCAAAAACTATCGATACATTTCATTCGTTGCATAATTTACAAAATCATCCATCTAGACTTTCAAAATCATAATTACGTGGCATTATATAGGTTATTTATATGCTACATTCGCTGAAAGTTACACAAAATGAATTTATTACCGATAATTTTATATACACCAATTCATTGTATTTCACTCGATCCAGCATAATATATTAGATTAGCAGCCGCCACATTATTGTCAGTTGTATGTTTTAAATGAAATAATTAGGATCTACAGTTGTAGACCCTTATCTCTAATGAAAAAGAATTGGGTTTTTTGGTTCTATTACATACTTTTTCCATTTTCTTTTTGTCTGAAAGCTTGGTGTAATGTAAAAAGCACTGTATTTATTTTTTATGTTTAAATATATATTTTATATTTTAGCAGCCTTTGCAGACCCCACGTTTTATTAATTATTTCTTTTGTACTATTAGTCTATTCTCACCATATTCCTATAGGCTGTATAGCTCTCTCAACAAGTTCAATTACTAAATCCTCCTTCAACTTAGGTTAAATTACGAAAAATGCCTCCACTTATTCGTAATTATCAAAATTACCCCCAACATTTGTTTTCATCTTACACCGACCCCCTTTCAATATGAAATTTCATAGAATTTTTTTATTCCTAGTAATCTTTCTTGAAAAATGTTAATTCTACCCCTACAAACGTGACATTTTTTTATGCTACTTTTTAAAGACAAAAAATTACTCTCCAGGAGCCTCTATACGGAATCTTCACTTGTGCACCATTACCCATCTAAAGATATTTTTCTGTGAAAATATTATCTGAAATCAAAAAGATTCCGTGAAAAACTACACCACATCGGGAAATTTTACAAATAGGTGGGGTGTTTTCATAATTTAGCCTAAATTCGAGGGGTTTTTGTAATTCAGCCTATATTTATTGGGATATACTTTTAAACTTTTTAATACATGAAATTTTGGCAAAGGAATACAATAATGTTTTTTTTTCCCAATCTTACTCAATACTCATGCAAAAAAGCAAAACTACAAAAGTCAATTATTGACGCAACTCAATAAGAAAGGTCAACAAACCATTAGATAAGGTCAAAATATGAATGCAAATTCTTGTAGAGGACAACTCAATCTCATTTGTCAAATCCTACATTTCTAACACAAAACTTGCATATATACACATATATGTATATGTATATATATACACATGCTGTGTGAAAAATAAGACCAAAAATACTTGAGACAAGATTCAGAACTCCACCCCAAGTATTAATAAAATATACACGTAAGCAAAATCTGAAATAAAATCAGCCCACCATCTCACACATGATAAATAAATAACCATACTATGTATAAATACACACACACACATAATCCCAAAGACCCAAAAAAAACAAACCAAAACCACAACTTCCACACCCACTTTAGTGTGTGTGATTGTGTGTTTCAATGGCTAGAAGAAAAGGTGATGATGGGTCAATCAGAAAGAAGCAGCAGGAGCTGAACAGAGGAGCTTGGACGCCCGAGGAAAACCGGAAACTGGCCGAAGCAGTCACCATCCACGGCGCTAAAGAATGGCCAACCATTGTTTCCAAAGCCGGTTTGAACCGTTGCGCCAAGAGTTGCCGGCTTAGATGGATGAACTATTTGAGACCGAATATCAAACGAGGCAATATGTCCGATCAAGAAGAGGATTTGATCATCAGACTACATAAACTCCTCGGAAATAGGTACACTTTTTTCGTTTTTTAGTTTTTACATCAGATAAATCGAAGCGACAGATGGCTGAATTTCAGTAGATCATATATAACCAGTGGTCATGTCACAAACATGTAACTTTTCCATCTGATGAAATCGAAACGACACAGGGCTGAATAGTAACATATACTCCTCACAAACATGTAATTTTTCTTAATCTAATGAATCATAGGTTTTTAAGAATTTTGTGACCCTATGTTGGCTCTGCCATTGAAGTATTTTCTATTACTGAAAAATAAAATCCTGACTCTGCCACTGTGATTCCATTCCAGATGGTCACTGATAGCGGCGAGGTTGCCGGGTCGAACAGACAATGAGATAAAGAATTATTGGAACTGCCATTTGAGTAAGAAGAAATCGGAGGAGGAAGCGTTGGTTGCAGGAATTTCAATGGGGTCAAAGAGCGGTCAACGATTCATCGGGGAAGAAGAGAACAATAATAACAATAGTAATAATAATAATAATAACAACAGGGCAAGTTGCAGCAGTGGTGTTGAGGTGTCATCAGAAGAAGAACAAAAAACAAGGTTTGATGTGAATGATTTCTTTGATTTCTCAAATGAGAATCCTTCAACTTTGGAGTGGGTAACCAAATTCATTGAATTTGGTGAGTGATGCTTTGTTGAATTTGTCTTCTACATAAAACTTTTGACTTATTCATATTTGCCTCGTTGACTCTGTTTTGTTAATCAGCAAAAAATAGGCTGTTCTTGGTGTAAATAAAAGCTTCGGTTTTCACATTTGGCTAAGGCCTCGTTTGGGAATGTTGATAGGATTCGTAGGATTGATTGAACTACAATGTAATGTCTTATATTTGGGATTTGTGATTATACAATCTTTGTATAATAAAGTCTAAGAAGTAAACGGTTTCGGCTAGCTACATTAAAATCCGAGCCCGTCTTTTTTTTTTTAATCATGGATTTAAAACCTAAATTCCGAACATTTGACGAGCGCTGATTAGATTGTGTATCGAGCCCTATGTTACATATTTTGATTCATATATATTGATGATGTGAATCCGAAACAACTCGAGAAACTCGATAAGGTTTGACCTTTCGAAGTGACATATACTCTTTGACTTGCACATTTTCATCGTAAGTTCTACCAAACAACGAAATATATCAATAAGAAACTGCATTTTGTGATTTCTTTAATGTTGTAGATTGACTGTCGATCGTTATGTGGCGATGCAGCGGAAGATTAGATTTAATTTATAGTTACGTTTATGCAGCACGTAAAGAAGAATATGAGTATATAAAGGGAAAGGGAAAAAGAAATCACATACCTTATGTACCGCATTATGAATGAGTGTAAAACACCGAGATCTCAATAGTAGTCATCCCCGTATAATCGAACATGCATAATTGACCACCAATTTACCATCGAAACCAAACTTCTGCAAATCAAATAAATACATCAGTCTAGTGACAAATATGCATGACAATTGGCCGAAATAAAAAAAAATATATATATATCAAGAAACAGTCCACATTTAATGGTGAACCGTGAATAAAAACAAATTCGGATTCGTGTAGAAGACCGACATCTCGGTAGTAGTCATCCCCATATAATCGAACATGCATTATTGACCACAATTTACAATCGAAACCAAAGTTCTGCAATGTAAGTAAATACATCAGTCGAATGAAAAATATGCACGACAATTAGCCGCAAAAGAAATAAAAACAATCAGAAACAGTCCACATTTAATGGTGAACCATGAATGAAAACAAGCTCGAATTCGTGTACTAGATCAACTCGTTTTTAACCACGTTCGTCAGCACAGATAATCCACCGCATATAATGCTCGAACGATGGCTATTCCCATAGTTCGATATCAAAATTTATTGCATTGTTCTTAAAAAAATACAATTAAAAAAAAAGTAAGAGAACAACAGGAAATTCAGTGCATTGTACAGAAATGGGGATAATTTAAACAATAAAAGTATAAAATAACTTGCCAATGTCTGCGTATGAAGTTGCCGACGAAGAAAATTCATCACTTCCGCAAAATTTTCAGCTCCGGCAAACTGCATTTCGAACAAATCTAACAATGGATATCAAATTTTGAAATAGGATGCATTTACAATTATAGAAAATTAAAACGAGTCGTGACCAAAAAAAAATTAATTAAGAGAAGGAAATTGGAAGAACGAACTGTAATTCAGACTGGTGAAAAACTATACCTAATTCACAACAACAAAGCTTTGAGAATCGGAGCGTCGCCGCGGGGGGTTCTGTGTGAGATGAACTACCACTGCACTTTCCTCTACAGTGTCCTCTGGTTCAATTCTCTCCAGTTCGACTTAAAAGGGTTTTCTTTTCCCTTTCCCTCTCTTTTAAAAAAATTACGAAAATAACCTTCATGTTTGAATAATTACAATTACATTCAATTATGAATCTTTTTAAATGTTCATCCTTACGGCTACGGTGTCAAATTTAATGGAATCTTCTAAATTATGTGAAATATTCTGTAGTCTATATCCGTTTTATCACATTCGAACTCCATATTTTGAAACAAAATGACGAGTGTCCAGTTTAAACATTTTTTTTTGACAATTTATTTTAAACATGATTGGTCATGACTCATGAGACACATTACATTACTTACCACCAGCTTCTCCAAATATGGGGTATCGTTCGAGGAATCGAATCGAATATGCTTGAGTGTGTGTTTAATGTCGTTAATAAAACCAATTAAAAAAAATAGTATTCCTTGAATAAATTTCCTCCATTTCAAAAGTGGAGATATCTAGGATTCAATCAACAGTTACAGGCCAAAGAAATATATACAAGAGGGCCCCCAAAGACAACACAATTTTGATGCCAATGCAACACAATTCTCTCACTAAATAAATAGTACATTGGATCTGTAAGAAATTCAATTGTAAATAATAACCTCTACTTATTTCAAATTGCTCGAAATTAATCATCTGTAACGTATATCCTCGTTCAATTGGATAAGCACATTCTTCCAGATCAGCTATTCGTTGAAAGCCAACAATTGTCTCCATTAAACCTGCAAAGAAGAACAAACCGTAATTAGAAGATCAAAATTTGTTGTTAGTGAAGTGAGTCGGGAGGGGCCATGGCCCCCATGAGCAGAGAAATATAGACGATGCAATAGGACCAAAAAAAATCAAAATATTGCATTTAACTCGTTAACAATATAGTACGATGAGACTCGGCCAATAAAAAGAGGGTATCCCCTGACATTTGACAATACATTTACTATATAAAATTAGTTTTTTTGGTCTCGGAAATAAAATGGATGTTGTTTGCGTGTGTGTGAGTGTGTGTGTGAGAGAGAGAGAGGGGGGGGGGGGGGGGACTGACCAATCAGAATCTAGTAGTCTGTTGAAGCATTTGGGGCACAGCAGATTGTGAAACCAACTGCTCTGAACTGGGAGAAGGCCTGATCATGTGGTTGCTAGGTACCTGCCTCACCGTTTGCTTACCACTGTTATTTGTCTCGGATTGCACCGGCTCCATTAGAGTACGTATCTGAGTGCAAATTTAATAATCAATTCATATATAGTCATCAAAAGAAAAACGAAAATATAGGTCCAATTTCAGTACAAACAATATTACTTACCGCATCCATACGCTTTTTGTGGGCATCACTTTGCGGCTGCATGTACATTTTAATTCAGTGTCAGTTGACTATAGTGTATATATCATTCTGCATCTCATGTGACTCGAAATATTTACCAATGATCATTACGCATATCAAATTCATGAAATCTTTGAAATGGGAAATATGGGATTATGGGTGTCGAAAAAAATAATTTTCGTTGTTGAAAATAACAGGCTATAAACAGTACTTTATGGATGTGCATGAATCGAATAACGAACATAGACTTTATAGTCATCTATAACTAATATACTGGACATACAAGAGTAAACAAGACTAGCATAATAAAGAGAACAAAAGCTTACGTGCTCTGGTTTATTTTTCTTTTCTTCACTAGAGAACCCGGGAATGGTCAAGTTCCAGTTTTTCTCTGCAAATACATCATTCAGTTAGGTCCATGCAAATCTAGCGATAATAGAAAGAAACATTTCTTTGCTAAAAGACGATGCATGGGGTTAAAAAAAAATAGCCTTTGACTTTGTCAAGTCGTATGTCTCTCTTTATATTTAAACTGGAACAACACTTGAGCATTCTCACTTGCTCTAGGTTGGATTCAAATTTCAGACATGTCGAAAACAAGAATAGATATCTGACCCTGTAGTCATGTGCCGGTATATAATGCAAAGTCAAATATACGTCTCTACAGACATAGACTCGAAGCATCTAAAGATGATCGGTGAACTGTAACTTATTATCACGGAATGAAAAATATCTTGCATTAAAGACCACAATGCCATGCAACACAAACCTAGATGAAATAATACATCTTTGGCTTCCACAGTCGAAGATTTCCGATGCTTTGCCAGGGTGCACGAAAATGCGGTCACCTACATAATACAAGACAAGATATCTTCTCAAAACGAGAATCAATAATTGATGCTTAAGCAAGGAGATCAAAATCAAGTATTGCTTCATCAAAATCATATGTGCATCAAGAATTTCAAGAGAATCAGCTACAAAATTAGCTTGAAAGAAGCCCAAGTTTTTACACATTCGCAAATCGCAATATTAGCATCTGTTAGATATGATAGCCAACCTCAGTAACTTTTTGGACAAAAAAAAACATGAATTTCACATGCACCCCTACAAAATTGGGTTCGGAGGGTTGTCCTCGCTTGTGAAGAAATTAATACAATACGAAGAAAAACATATTAGACTTTCAAACTTAAAAAAAATAATGAAAAAGAGAGCTGAACACAAGTAATCAAGCCAAGTATGTTGTATGACCTCCTACACAGAGGCCCTAAAATCCCACGTGTCCATTTTTTGGTGGGGTAAATACCTCCAGTAGTACTAAAAACAGTAAAAGTTGGCCAAAACCACACCCCTAAAAAATTAAATATAAACGAAAAAGGAACAAAATATATTGAAAAGTATAAACAAAATTACCATGTAATAACGAACACATTGATTTTTTTTATCAAGCAATCATTTCGACAACCCAAAAAAAAGCCCACAAGCCCAAACTGTTACCCAATAAGAGCACAGTTAAAGCAACATCGTCGAAATTTAGAAAATATCACATAATTCCCCAACATAAACAAAATAACAAATATAGTCATTTACAAAGAAGAAAAACGCATTATATGAATTTTGAATTTACAAGTCTTACCGAATCAATAAAGTTATCAGCAATCTCTAAAAGGAGATCTTCAACATCCGGATCCAGTTTTCCATTTAAATCCAACTGAGACAAGCAAATAACAATCAATTCTCATATCTGGCTAAAGGAAATACAGCTGGCAAATTTAAACCCAATTCTTCAATATTTTGATTGGCTATTGCATAACTCATAGGAAAAAAGAAAAAAAAAACAATCCGAAGAAAAGAAAGTGAAGGAACAACCTGTGATACTAGATCTTGAATCTTTCTCTTCCCAAGAAGTTGATTGTTCGCTTCTGTGCCTTGGCTTGAACTTCCACCCGGTGTGGTAGTTCCAGATGCAGTCGCGTCTGGCTGTGACCCAGTCAAACTTACCGATTTCTGGCCTCCGGGCCCCACCATTCTTGGAGACTGCTGCTGATGGAAAAGTTGCTGCTGTGTTTGCTGCTGCTGTATTTGCTGCTGTGCTTGCTGTTGCGTTTGCTGCTGTGTTTGCTGCTGCTGTTTCTGTTGAAGCCCCTGTTGCTGCTGGCCCATCTGTGTTTGCTGCTGTGCTAATTGGGACAATTGCTGTTGGGTCAGCCCTACTGAATTCTGATGCAGCTGCGAAGAAGCTATTTGCTGCTGGAGAAGCCGATGTTGTTGAAGACGATATGAAGAAGCATTGGGTGAGGAAATCGCTGGTATTTGCTTTAACCACTGCTGTTGATTTATAGCATTCTGCATCATGCCTTGCTGTCCATTCTGAGCCATCCCGGAAATTTGAGCGTTCATAAATGACGCCCTTGTGATATTCTGCCCCTGGTCAAATTTAAATTTAGAAAAAAATCGTAAATTAAATGCCACATAACAAAAAAGGTAGAGACAGCAGACTGTATTCGGTTATTCGTTAAATTTCAACAGATTCACGTCATTCAATTAAAGGACAAAAAAAGAAGTTCTTTAAACGCAAATTGACCGGAAGGCAGATAAACGCAAAACAGCCTCAAGAGACGAGGTACGATAATGTAAGAGCTTATACCTGAGCGGCATTGAGTGCAGTTTGCGTATTCAGCTGCTGCCTCAGTTGGGCAGTTGTCATCCTTTGTTGAGTGTAAGGAAGAGAACCATTTGGTCTAGTCAGATTGAGAGAGCCCATCATTCCCATTCCTGGTACAGACTGCCCGGCAGAATTACCGGGATGGAACTGAGACCCTTGTACGAAACCCGCCTTCTGTCGTGGCTGCACCCAAAAATAGCACATGTCTTAAAGACTCATATATATTACATGCATATATAAAATAGCAAAAGTGCAAAACCTACCTAGAAAACAAAACAGAAAATTGAAATAAAACCAACATCCATCAAACATGATTATCGTCGTTGACCAGCCTCGGCTCCAATGGACACATGTAATTTCCATTATTGATTCGCAAATATTAAGTTAGTTACCAAATCCAATATGTTTTGAGGTTTAAAAAGGGAAGTGATCCTCATCTAAACGTAAAAGTTCCGAAATACGTGACAAAAAAATAAATACGCAGTAATCATTCCTAGATTATATAGTAATCAAACTCCATGCCATAAAAAACTCACAATTCACACATGCAAAGATTCATATATTTTCCTATTAAAAAAAAAACCCGATAAAGAACTTATTTATACCGAATTCATTTCTAGATTATCAAACCGATAAAGCACTTATTTATACAGAAACACATGACGAAAAAATAAATACGTAGTAACCATTGACAAAATTATATAGTTTATCAAACTCCATACCATCAAAAATTCACAATTCACACATGCAAAGAATTCATATATTTCCCTATAAAACAAAACACGAGAAAGCACTCATTTATACCGAAGTCAAAAACTGGTTTTGCAAGTTAAACTGAGCAGCGGCTTGACCAGATAACATCGGCAGATGCCCTGTCTGCCCCATCAGAGCAGACCGAGGTAAGTTCCCACTGGTCATCTGCACCATTTGCTGCTGATTCTGCTGCCCTAATTGCTGTTGACTGTTATTAGAATTACTTAGATTAACATTACTGCTCTGTTGCTGTTGCATCTGTTGCTGCAATGCGTTCAATCCACCAAAATTCATCTGCCCATAAATTCCTGAATTCTGCTGCTGCTGCTGCTGATTCTGCTGCCTCGTTATTCCTAATTGGTTGTTAATATTACTGTTCTGTTGGATTTGGTTAAGCCTAGACATCGAAGGGTTCCTCTGTAAACCCTGAAAACTCGAAACCCCTAACAAATTGTTATTGCTACTACTAGTATTCTGCTGTTGTTGTTGTTGAAGCTGCTGCAATTGCTGCTGCTGCTGGGATTGTACCATCTGCTGTTGGGATTGTCCCATTTGCGGCTGCGGCTGCGGCTGCTGCTGCTGCTGTTGTACCTGCTGCTGCTGCGATTGCACCAATTGCTGTTGCTGATGCTCGAGCGAAGGCGATGGGGATTGAAGCGGTTGTAATTGTTGCGAATTGGATGGTTCAATTGTGGCTGGGGTTTGCTGTGAGGGTAAGGGTTTTGGTGGGGAAGATGAAGGGGTTGGATTTTCTGCCATTGTTGCGCGCAGAGGATTTTCAATTTGAGGAATTGTAATTGCTTTTTTTCTACTTTTGATCTCTAGGTTATTGGAATTCAATTCATGATTTGGGGATTTTGATTTGAAGTATCCCTGGGTTGGATCAAAGAAGGAAAAGGTGAAGCAGAGATGGTGTCTGAATTTCTCGGACCTTTATTTGGTTAGTATTTAAAGTGACGTCGTTTTAGTATGAACAAGAGGAAATTGCGACTAGGGAAATAGAAGGAAGCAAGAAAGATGACTTGGGGTTGAAAGTCAAATGACCGAATTATATTTATTTAGCAAAAAAATTGAATTTATTTCCAATTTTGTTGTAAAGAATTTCGAAAACAAAACATCCATAAAATTTGAAAATTTTATTATTTTTCATACATTTGTAAAGTAAAGAATGATATTGATATTATAAGTGTAACTTTTATAAGTATATAATTGTTTTCGAAAATTAAAATCGAATCAAGAAACATTTTGCAAAAACAAAATTGAAAGTGAGAATTTATTTCAGAGTTCGTTGTAAAGAAATTCGAAAACAATAATGAGTTTGACATTTCGGAAATTCGAATGGAAAAACTTGACCTCAAGATTGAATTTTTCGCTGTTTTTTTAATCCATCTATAATATAAAATAAAATAAACAACGAGATTGATATTTTAAGTGTAATAACTTCTAAAATACATAATTGTTTTCGAAAATTGAAATCTCGTATTTTCCGAAACTTGATTCGAAAATATTTGAAAATTTTGTAATTGTTGAAATATGGAACAAAAATAACCAACGACCAATAAATAACCGATTCCTTCCATAAATAACCTAAGAACAATAGCCAAGTCACGAATGTTAATTCTACAACGTGTATTTTTCATTGGTTTAACTTCAACCTCCGACCGCGACTTGTGCTGATTTTGCCGAAGCTTCCATTACAACAAGTGTGTGCTCGTTGAATTTGCGAAATAATGAACTCGAAGTATCGACTTTGGTTTTCTAAACTTGTTACCAAGAAGATTACCCAGAATGGACGGACGCTGACCCGATGTCATCTGATGCATTTTACGTGGAATGATGTGGTTATCCATAATCATTATCTCTAACAATTGCCTGCAGCTCTGTAAAAAGCAATTCAATTTTGGCTTATTAGCACTTTGAATATAGATCCTCAATATTAGTTCATTACAGAATACCATCGCACAAAGACCAATATCTTCGAGAAACAATTAGGTGAGCAGCGAATTCTACCAAAGCTGATTAGATTGAATTATTTACGAAGAAAAAAAAAAAGCCGAGCACAAGAAAGCAAAGTCAAAATCCCAATTGGGAGAAGCTTTTATCTTTGCATACCTGAGGATTCAGACCAGACATCTGCTTGATGATGCCATCCTGTAGATAAATATACGACGTACATAGTATCCGTTAATTTTCGATTAAAAAACAAACTGAAAAATTAGGAAAAAGCTGACTAAGTTAGACCACATGCACCAATAACAGCTCGATCGCGTACGGAGATTTCATACCTCTAATATTCCTGGATTCTGCATCACAATAGAAAGAACACGACGAACGAGCCCCTTGTACACAAGTTCATTTACTACACCATCTCCATTCATCCATGGTAACAAAGGCCGACATATCAGCGGACTAGCAGAGTAGAATTCCGAGTTTTCAATTCTACTCGTTTTGGGAGGAGCAGCTTCAGATTTCTGATAGCCTGTGATCTTATACTTGGCCAATATTTCAGGGACAGGATCGGCTACATCTTCACGAAGATTTAAAATTGTGACTCTGTGCACTTCATGAGAATGCATGTTAATCTCATTCTCCGAGGCAGCATTCGTCTCTCCATGATTATCAGTATTATTAAGAGGCACATTCTCATCCTCAATCTTTATATGTTGACTTTTACGAAGATCACCAGCACGGTCACTTACGGAGGTCAAAAAATACTTGGATCGATACAAAGAATCAACTATGTGGATGGAATCATAAGCATTGACCTGTGTTTAAGCAATAAATATTATAAATCTAGGTCTGGACTTCCAAATCTCAATAAAACAACCAAGATTTTTATAAGTCTAATGATGATGCAGAAAAAAGCTTCAAAATTTTATACTTGAGACAAATGAATGGGTAACAAATCAAACCTTTAAAGCTCGTCCAAATGCTCCAAGCACCTCAATTATAACTTCTAACATCTTCTCGTCTGAAAAGAAAATTAATGATACCAAATTTAGTGGAAATTATGCATATAAAAAGTTACTGAAATAAGAACTCAGACCTCTTAAAATTACAAAAGTACAGTAGTTGCATACCGTCAATGTTCAGAACTTTGCGAATATCGTTCATGCTCAAACCATTGTCACCAGACTTCTGAATGGCTGAATAAAGAGTTTTGAATAAGCCGGATTGAAACGGATTTTTTACTTCACAAGCACACGAAGACATCAGATATTCAGCGTAGGTGGTCATAGCTTCCCATGGTGATTCACTCACATCAGATGCAGGATTGATAGTTTTCCCAGAGTCGAGAATTTCTCCCACACAATCAGATGAACCATATTGATCATCCAAACCTGATAAAGTATTGTTTTGATCATTTCCACCAAAAGGTGGTGTTGTGTACATGTCCTCGTCTTTAAATGAATCAATAGCAAGCCCTCTTGGAAGTTTTTCACGGTGCAAGCATAACGTTATACCAGGAAAGCCTTTTTCTCGGCGAGCAATCAGCTCACCCTCACCAGTAAATGGTGTCTTTGATTTTTTGGAATTTTCAGCACAATCAGATACACTACCATCCCATTTACGTTTGGAAGTTCTGTAATCTTCTGCCTCTCCAACACCTTCACTGGGTAAGCATGACGTAATCGACACTTCACCTGAATATACTAGAGTACACAAAGTGAAAACTTCACCACATTGCATGTCCAATGGAACATCAATGCCTTCTTCCATCAAATCCTTTTGTTTTTCATGAAGCCAGCTAGAAAACTTAGCAGCTCTTTCTCCAGTATCTGTGGGAAATTTGGAAGAAGAAATACTTTGCAAGAAGGGCTGTGATAGTGCAAAAGGACTATTACTGCTGCCACCAATCTGCCAAAATGGGAATAACTCATTTCACTTGGTAAGACAATATCAGAACAGAATCAGCAGTAACGACTACACACAATCCAATACGAGACAGCCGATACGTATCGTTTTTATAATAGTAGGCATATTCAATGTGTTGTGAGTATTGTTTAACAGTGGCTATTATAAATAAGAACCTGACAGTACACAATATTACTTACCATAATCTTCTTCTCTCTCAGGTAGTTAAAAGCAGCAAACAGATCATGCTCAGAGTAACGACGCAAAGTTTCGGCCAAGAAAGTTGAGACCTCCGGAGCCATCGAGTTGCTTAGAAAGATTAACTTAAATAGCTCTGCAGCATTTGCAATTGCGACCGATTCATGCATCCATTTGCCAACACTTGCACCTTTACTTAATAGCTTCATATATTTTCTCGAAAGATGCTGGGCGCTTGATCTTTGACCAGAAACTTTCCCATCAAAACCCTCAAAGACCTGTCCACGAGAAACTGATGAAATTGATCCACAATTGCAAAATCGCATAAGGTTGTGAAAGAGAAATTAATCTAGAAACCACTATATGCTTTCGGCAACCAAGATTTCATAAAGCACTATCAGAATAAAGATGATAAACACATATGTTATATATCTATCAAGAGAAAGACAAACTCCAATAAAATCTCCTGTTGGGGTAAAAACAGGATCTGCATACCATTGGAAGCACATAATAGTATATTTGATTCCAATGCACATATTATGGGCGGGATGCTACTTTTGGAAGTTTACAAGAACTTACATCGTCCTCGATATCTTCATGGTCTGAAGAAGTATCTTGCACGGTGTCCAATTTCGCCATTTTTTTGTATCTTAAAACATTATCAAGTGCTACCTTGATAACACTATCATCGAAGTTAGCCCAATTCTCAGACATAGGAGCTGAAGAACAGAAACTATCTTTCTCAGATGCAGTATCACGAACCATCTTTCTCGGATCCCCAGGATTTAACGTCTTGCTCTGAAACTTCTCAAGGTATTGTCTATAACGTTCTGCAAGCATGTTACATAATTTCATTAGAGCTTTTCTGAAAGGGATATAACGTTTCAATGATGCCATTCTTCTTTTGCAGCTCTGAAGAGGCGCTGGAAGATTTTGAAGCGATGCCCAGTCTACACCCTGATATTTTGCCCCCAGAGCAGCTCGGTGTCTTGCATATTCAATCACCAATTGTCTGAGAAATAAATTGTTCCGTGTGAGATCATAAGAAGCATATTAAAAGATTTCTGAGTTAAATGACCAAAAAATATGTATGTGTGTGTGTATATCATTAACTCTGAGAAGACAATAAAGTATGAAAGCACCATTCACCTATCAGCCTCTTCTGTCCACAAAAACTTTTTCTGACGTGCCGATTTCAACCTTGATAAGGCTTGCTTATGATGGACTTCATCATCTTCTTTTAGCAACTCTGCGCCCTTGTCGTAACCAAGATAATATCTCTGCAACTGGTAATCATAATCTTCAGAAGCAGTTAACCAAGAATGTTGCTCCACAGAAAATTGGTTATCAGAATCTGCAACACTAGCTTTTACAAGCTTTGACGACATTCTATCTGGATTTCGTTTTCTTTTACGTGAAGATGCAATGTGTTTGCCTTTGACTGTCTGAAGCTCCTTACCTTCGGCATCCAAAACTCTCTTAAATCTAGTCATTCGCCGCTGCCTGTCATAATAGACACGAAGAACCTGAAATAAACACAAGCAGATATATCATCCATAATTTAACTAGTTTGATTCCCATAGGACTGGATATCCGTTAAATGTGTTCAACTGAATTATCTTAGAGGTTGTATCTTACGATTTGAACTCCAATAATCAGTTTGTGTATGCAGAAACTAGTTGCATCGAACATAATTTCGAGACATTGCAGGTAGAGAAACATACAAAGTAACAAAATATTCAAGATTGGAGTTAACTTTTGATCAAATTTGAGCTTCAGATTTGCTAGTGTTTAAGTCAGTATACTCAGTTTGAACCTTTAGGTCAATTCTTGAATTTAAACTTTCAACTAAAATAGCATATTAATATAAAATTTGAATTCCTTTAATCTTACATATGCTCTTGATAAATGTTGTAGTGAATAAAACAATATGTACAGTACAAATGCTTTTCCTAGTTAACCAACCTGCTCCAGGGTCAAATTAAGATCCTCAGCAATCTTAACACACTCACTGAGTGATAGCCTTTTCTTCCGGTCATCTTCTGTGACCCGCTTTAGAAGTTCCGTTCGATGTTCAGCTGTCATAACTGAGGCAGATGACCAAGATCGGGAATGAAATACCTGAACAAAGTTTAACCAATTTATAAAGAGTGCATTTAAAATAAATAGGAAATACGATGAAGATTGACATGTTATCATGCACAAAAATTTAAAATTATGTTTGTGAGTTTGTCTTCTTAATAAGATATGCTATCCAAAAATGTGTTGCAAAAACTTCAAGCATGAGGAACCACCTTTCCAGCAAAAAGAAAATTATTTATAGCCAACAACTCAGGATTTGAACAGGGTTCCTAGGTAGCAGGACTACTGTCTCACTTCCTCCAAAAAAACAGAGAAATAATGATTCCACCATTCCATAATCCACCAATAAACAAGGTAAAATAAAACACAGCTATTCAAGGTACCAAATTAAGGTTGAAATAAAACAAATCAAGAAAAGTGGTCATGCTCTACCTCATGGGCTACAGATCCAGGAAATGCTAACAAAGCAGCTCTTGGTTTAGCTGCAGCATAACAATACTCCAACGTATTCCAGTATTCATCAACACCTTTTCTGCTCGAAAGAACAAAGTCATGCCTCACTTGAGGGCGCAGATGAGAAAAAACGGAACCAGATGGTGCAACAGTTGAGACTGGTTCCTCGATGTAAGGTTTAAGTTCCAATGCATTTGTAAGAATAGCATGTGCACTGCTGGCTCCATCTTCGGCATGGCCCTCCCTCACTAGTCGAATCAACTGTCGAAAAGTCACATTTCAAACTATTATCAAGATTAATTTCGAGAACAAAAACAAAACCAGAAACTTTGACAAGAATCGATTATTCCAAGAAATAAGGGGAATGGAAATAGGAATATGAAATTTGTAATTCTATTAATTGTTTATTTCTACCTTGTAATTATAAAATATAGGAAAAGCAAAATTAACCACCTCTTAATACGTAGATGAGATTCACTTACATATTTCATGCCTTGAAAACAATGGTCATAATAATTCAAATTTACATTTGTCGAGGCATTTGATATAATATAGCTTATCTGAAATTATACTAAAACGTTAGTTAATTAATGCCTATATCTTAAATTTAACTTCTAAAATAAACAAACTGGCTATTATTCTTATTTTGATTTTTTTTCTTAAACAGTCTGCAAACCCTGAAGTAACCCTCCTTCACTAGTTCCTCGCACCCCTGCTCTTACCTGTCAGACTGTCAGTCAGTGAAGGATCTCCATCTCTAACTATTCGGACGAATTCTTCAACTAACCCAACAGATATGTTCAACTATACAAATCTACCAAAAAAATTTGATCATCCTAACAGAAATCATGCATCTATTTTAAGAGGTATTCTACTCTGTTACTTTCACCCCTTACAAGGGTGAGTATAACCAATAAGCAGTTCACCTGTATGAGTAACAAATTATGTGTCTCGGTAAGATAAGTATGTAAATCAACTTCATTTATTAGTGAGTATGCAGCATACCTTCAAACGGCGTAATATATCAATTAGACATGATAAGCGTCCAGTTGCTCGAGTGTCTGTAACGGCTTTGTATTCCTCCAGAGAAAGATCACAAAGAAGCAAACCAGTTCTACGTTTCTCGACCACATCCTCGGTCTTTTGAGGAGAACCTACTACTTGTAAAAACAAATCAAGCGGCATGGACCTAATGGCCAAATCTAACTCAAACAACTTACAACTGCTGTGTAGATTTTTCACGTCATAAGAATGGTTCCCAGAGGATAATGCATCATCCCAACCAGGAGAATTGCAGATCCAACCCCAAAGAAAGGTGTGAAGAAGCTTTGCTCGAACCATTTTTGCAAGTACAACCCCATTAGCGCGCAGTGATTCATCACTCTCTAATTGGACATCCAACTTTGCTCTACTTGGAATTCTCTGCACGTTCTCCAATATCTGAGCTGATTCGACCTTCTTTTGCCGAGTATAAGATTGCTTCCGCACTTGAATTTCAAAAGACCTCATCTTATCGTGAATTTGCGTCAATAGTTCAGGTGGTACACTATAAACAGATGGGTGGAGAACCACTTCTGTTGTCCTATTGCGGCCACAGTTTGTCACGATTGGGACACTCACATGGATGCATTTACAATGCCCATCTTGCTGAAGTTTGTTCAGACTACGTTCCAAGGTCTTCCGGTCCATCATTGTGTTTCTTTCCTTCTCAAGACTCTCAAGACGTCTGTGGAGCTCAGGCTTTATGAGGAACTTCTCCTCCTTTACACAAAATGTTTTGCAAGGATTAATGACTAAACAAGCCAGCTAGCTATCATAAGAATGTAAAATTGAAGGACAATGGAACAGACCTGCAACATTTTGAGTATATGCTGCTCCCTCTGTGAGCTGATGGCACCTACAGTAAGACGGGGATACCTCAAATACGATCGACGTCTGGTAGGTGGTACAGCATCAGAAGAACGTGGTACTAGCATATTACAGTTCGTTACTAATTTACTGTCCTGCAATACTGCTGAATCAGGGGCTTCGTTGCATACTTCCACATCAGAACTCTTCGGATTGCATTGTAAAAGTACAGTACTAGAGCTCTCATCATGCATAGTCTTACCATTGGAACCTTCTGTTATGACTGCTGCATCATTTTCACTATGGTTGATCCCGCTTATATTCCCCACAGTAATGGAAGTATCTAGCGACTGTAGAGGCTGAGATAAGTTATCTTGCTTCCCCACAGGAATAGAAGTATCTAGCACCTGCAGAGGCTGAGACAAGTTCTCGTGGAAGTTAGGAACAAGTGAATTAGATTCATTGACTTCCTGCATAACTGTGTTTCTTTCTTTTCCATTGACTTCCTGCACAACTGTTTCTCTTTCTTTTTCATCGACTTCCTGCATAACTGTTTCTCTTTCAACGGGCCCCATATTGGATGATTCAGGATTGTAGTTACGAGCTGTCCAGACTCGGTAGACCTCACCTCTGTGATGGCTTTCCAATTGCAAATGCAATCCAAACCTAGAGATCATTTGTTTAAAGTATCGCTTGTGGTACTCCTTACTGCATAGTCCAAGCCTTCTACAGACCTGCAGAAAACATAAAACATATAGGTAGTTGCACTTGATAGTTGACAATATGTTCTTGGTTTCGCATAGAAGATACCATCTTTAAAACCCCTAAAACCCTCTTTACATATTGCATTTATACGACAGCCATCATGCAAACATTTTCACCATGCCAAACTCTGATCATCATTGACCAGGTCAATGGTGGAGAAATTTATACTACCATTCTAAAACCTACAGAAGTGTAAAAAAATAATATATATATATATATATATATATTTCACATGTGGTTGAAGTAGCAGTTAAACAATGAAATGAGATGCAAACTCCAATATATACAACAAAGAGAGATCGGAGAGATGTTTCATTTTACCCAAGTCATTATCTATATGAAACTGTATCAGAAAGAACAATCAAATTCACTGCAACTAATGGTCCCTCAGCCATCAAGCATCATCAAGAGATAGCTTCAAGTGTCATGAGTCTGATCACTCCCGTAGTAGCCATTTCCATTAGAGGACCACCAAACTTCATTACAGAATGTAAAATACGCAAATAGTTTATGCTTTAATTGAACAGAATTATCAAAATGCCAAGCAAGCTAGCATCAAATAGAAACTTGTAAAGTGCTTTATGAGAAGAACAGGAAGTTCAACTGCTTGACGGGAGAAGGGCTTTCATCAATGGACTTTTTTCAGGGTTCCGAGTAATGAGTGAAAAAGAAGGAAGACAAGAAAATAAAAGACCAAGAAAATATAACAAAGAACCTGATTAGGAAGCAATAATGAAAAACATCAAAGTCAAACAATTATTTAATTTTCCTATTTATGGCTTCAGTAATTGTACTTACTTCTGTATTGGTCAACCCTTTTGATCCTGCAGCATCAATCATGTCATAGACCTGACGCAAAACAGGAATCTCTACAAGTTGTTCTGTAATTTGTCCTCTCTTCAACAAATTTGTTGACTGTTCCGTCTCTATATCATCATGCCCGTGTCCATTAAGTTTTGGCTCAAAAAGTGATGGTGAAAAACTTTGAAGTAGACGTATACAATTGACCTCCTGAAATATGAACATCGAACAATAAGTTGATGGAAAAATTCTCATACTTCAGTTTACTACCAGGGTTTTTACACATCAATCCAATTCCCACTACCCCCACCAACCCCAACCCCGGCGCCAAAAAGAAGAAGAAAAATAATAATAGCCTAGATAAACTGAGCAATAAGGAGCACTGATCATTTTAGTACAATACTAGCAGTAATTACGTATCAATATAAACAGAAAATTTGCCTCAGATGTGAATTATGATTGAGGAATATTCATAAACTAGTACTTGGCAGCATGAGAATGAATTTTAAGACCACAAGTTAATTACCAGTTCAACTCTAATTCCCAAAGATAATTTAAAGCTTTCCAAGTGTTGCATCTCTTGACAGTGAAAAAGGGTATGAATTATTTGCCAAAATACACCAATGACAGAAAACATGCTTGAAAGTTTTAACTAGCTACGCAATTACATATTATGCAGAGCAAACATCTTCTACATAAAGCAGTAGTATGACCATTATCAAAGAAATTTGGTTGCAACTATAACCGTGCTGTACTAGTCAATGGAATGGATATAACATAACACAAGTAGCTATGTGTAATGGCCATAACTGATATCATGCATGTATCAACTAAAAAGTAAAGAACTAGAGAAAACAAGATTGCATAAGGCTTCCAAGTTCCACCACTACGAGGTTTGAAAAAAATATGATGAGGAGTTAAGGTATCAGTACCCATTCCTCTGTATTCGAAGCAGTAAAGAGTGCATAACTCTCCAAGTCACAGATCCAGTACATACCTTTTTTTTTATCATTGTAAAACACTCTTCTACCACTCGAGCTTCTTTCAACCTGTGAAATACCTAACCACATATTTGCATGGTAAATGATCTAACAATGAGAACAAGAATTCCTAAGAGGATTAGAACATAATTTGTTTATCAAGAACATAGCAAAAAAAAATTACATTTCTCCAAAGTCTGTGGCCAGAAGTTCCTCGATAACCCAGATCTCGTTTTATATCTGAGACAACCAGAACCTTCAGCAGCACAAAATAATTAACAAAAAAATTAGGTCAAGTGTAAATCAACAATTATCAATAAACTAATGCATATCTTGGATATTACTCACCTTGCCATGAACCTTTTCAAGTTTATCGCATATGGCTTTAAGTTGAGGTAGAAAATCTTTGACAAGTACATCATCTTTTGCGATTTCGTTACCATAATCATCACCAGTTTCAGTACGAGCATCTGCAACCTCCCTATCCATCGAGAGTTTATCTTCCTTAGTGATTTCAAGTCTCTGTTGGCAGCCAAAATGCTCTGCGTAACGGCATAAAAACAGCATATTGGTGGACACAATGGAATCATTTTTCGGCTCGCCGTTGTGTGAGGCCTGTTTCGTCCGAATAACAGTCGGCTGCCTCACAATCATTCCTTGGATTTCAAGTTTCTTCAGCTGGTAGAATAAATTATTTGCTGCAATGCGTAATTCCTTAGCAAGCTCGCTTTGTGCAATTCCATTTTTCCTGAAGCCACAAGTAAAACGATCAACAGCAATACAAGCCAACAGCAACTGACAATAAACTTGTATAGATCTGACCACGTTTCATGAACCACTGATTCCATTATTCAGGATTTCTCAGCTCTTAACCTTAACCAAATATCCCAGTTAATTAAACCAACTACACCATACTCAAATAAATTGAAAGTAGCTCTATCATACTTAAATAAATAAAAACTAACTATGTTAGACTTAAATTAACTAAAATCAACTATATTACACTTAAATACAGCAGTTTATATAGTTAACCTAAAAAAATACATTCGATAGGTTCACTTGTGGGTCGAACCCGAATCTATCGGGTCCATGACTAGCCAATTAGAAACCACCAGGCCTGTAGGTGTCAAAACCCCAACGTTTTGAAGATCCCTTATACCCAGGGTCGGGTCTAAACTTGTGCAACAATCACTGATAGTAAACTTCAGCTACTTCACACTAAAATGTGACAGCACGCAATCTTGATTCCAAAAAAAAATAAAAATTAGTTCTATGTTCTAAGTCTATCAACATAACTACTAAAACTCAATCATCTTCATTCCGGTACAATCAAACACGAAACTTGCATTAAACATGCACAATTAGCCAACAAACAAACAAGCAAACATGAAGTAAGCATAACAATGACGATATAATGGAGCAGGCACACACTATATATTATTATTCACAAAGCGAGTGAAACTGAAGCTCACCGAGCAGCCGCGAGGCGTTCGAGAATGATACGTTGAGTATCGGACAAACCGGATTCCGACGCCTCCATTTCGTAAATTCCGAGGAAACTCTTCCTCATCCCTTCGGGAGCCACGATTTTGACATTCATCTTTTCGCACTCTTCAACTGTGCACTTGATCAAATCCACCGTAGAGTTGGACGAAGATACTCCGCCGTAGGCCTCGAGTTTGAGCCCCGGAATCTCGGCTAGATTCTCCCATACTGCCCGCTTCACGTTCGGGCAGAGGGGCAGCCCCTTGGAAGCTAGATATGGGCTGAGTTTCGGCCAGAGGTCGCGGAGGTGGAGTCCTTTCGCCGCTTCGCAGCATATTTCTTCGAGGGCTGAGTGGACTACGGCGTCCATTCGGCGGCGAATATGCGCATACAGCCGCAAGGTGGTGGCGGTTGATCGGGCTTTTTTTTCTTTTTTTTTTTTTCTTTTACTTTGGCGGGGAATTGAGATTTTGAGGTTGGAGGATTAGGTTTAGGGTTCGAATCAGTTTGGGGGAAAAACTTGTCCGTGTTGCTACTAGAGAAGAAGAGTGGTATTGCAATAAAGTCCTTTTAATTATATATATTAACAATGGAACCCTCGATATTTTATTTGTTATTAAATTTAACTAATTTAATTGGGCCCAAGTGGATTTGAATATAGAATTGGGCTTCTCTTGATATTTTTTTAGCATGAGCTATGATATTATGTGGGTCCACACTTCTATTTGAAAGAATCAATGAGTCCGAATTCGTAGTAAATAATAAAAACATAGATACTACGTGGAGTGCGAGAACACTTAGCATAACAAGCAGCGGGAATAGTTGTACAAAACTTGCGGACTGTCTTTAGAGGCGAAATACACTTGTATAAACATTACTACAAGAATGCAAAAGAAAGGGAATTAACGATATTCCCTACTATGAAGGTATATTACACAGATCATTCGTACAATTAAGTCTAGCTTCTCTGACACAAACTATCAAATCTCTACACGTACAACCTATGAATTCAAGATGAGTGTTTACAACATAATCTAAAAGATATATAGAGGTAACTTAAATCTACTTATCTTCTTCTCCCAAAACTTACTAATCCATAACTAGTAACCGCTTAATCTATGATCTAAACTAGATTTTAGAAAAGTTCAAACATTTGGACTAACTCGTCCACTACTTTTACTAATATTTCGATTTTTTTGAATAATTTTTTTTCGAAAATACAAAGCGTTTAGTCTGATTTTCACCTTATTCTACATTAAAAAGAAGGGTAAATAACACTTAATCCCAATGTAGTTTGAGTTTTACGCATGTAGCCCCCTTATACTTTTAATATAGCATATGCCCTCCTTGTATTTTAACATAACCACATGAGCCCCTGTACTTTTAGAAATTTCTTCTTCATAATAAGCATGAATATTTATTAAGTGGAATACGATAGGAAGGTTGCGTGTTTATATTTTAAAAGTACAAGCATGCCATGTTCACAAAATTTAAACTACATGGAAGTTATGTGCGTAAATTAAAAGTACAAGGGCATTAAGTGCACAAAGCTTAAATAAGAGGGGTTTAAGTGCTATTTACCCAAAAAGAGAAAATGGGAATAAAATAGCACCGGAACCAATGAACTAGGGTCCATGACAAACGTTGTAAGTTGTAACCATGGGGAACCAGGTAAACGAGGAGAGAGAAACATCTATCCATCTGTCCAAGCGTCAACGCCTCTAATCTCTTCTCTGCGTGTGAGTGTGTGTGTGTTTTGTGTGTGTATTGTCTAATCTCTTCTCTTTCTCTTTCTCTCTCTTATTATGGTTTCATGATTTCAGCCCAGGGTATCTTCTGAATCTCTCTTCATTTTCTAGAGAGAGAGAATTCTTGTGTGGATTTTCTTGCAATTAAGGTAATTACTTACTATATTGTCTCTGTTGGTTTTTCATCTTAATTTTGTTTGAGTTTGAATCTCTCTGCTTATGGGTTTTGATTATTAAATTATAGTATGTGTTTCTTAGCAATTTTTCATTGAAGAAACATACCTTTTACCTAAATTTTGCTGCCATAAAAATTTGATCTTTACTTCGTTTCAAGCATGTTTGTTCAAACTTGTTTGGATTTTTATGGAGCTTCCGAACTTGTGTTTGAGCAATTGAGCTCGAATCGATGAGCAATTGAGTCGAACTCTAACGAGCTTTAATCGAGCCAAAAAACGAATTCAGAACGAAAATACATGTTCGAGCTTGGTTCGCTATGTTAACAAATTGAGCTCAAATGAACCTCAAATGAACGATTATCGAGTAAGTTGTTTGATTTTTTTCGAACAAATTCTCAAATGAGTGATCTTTATTTAGTTTTCGGATTTTCAATCGTTAACGTATGGATCTGTTCGTTTCGATTGAAAGATGTCGGCTTTTTGTTCGTAGAACAAAGATAATTATTTTTCTTGATCTTGAGTTTCTCTTCCAACACTAACATGTAGATTTTTATTTTTCTTGCCAATTTCAGTGATTGAAACTACGATTTAAATAAAAAATACCCGATTATGGAAGAAGATATATTTTCCAGCATTGCAAACGGCTCGCAAGTCGACAGCAAAGTTGTTCAGACATTCCAGAAGAATTTCGTGCAGGTCCAGAACATTCTAGACCAGAACAGGCTGCTAATCACCGAGATTAACCAGAATCACGAGTCGAAAATCCCGGATAACTTAACTCGAAACGTGGGATTAATCAGAGAGCTAAACAACAACATTAGAAGAGTTGTTGATCTGTACGGTGATCTCTCCAGCAACTTCACCAAATCGATCGAGGCATCTTCCGAGGGGGAATCTGCCGCCACAAGTAAATCTGACGGAAGAGGTGGATTGAAGAGGATCAGGTCCGGTAATTGATGCGATTAAGAGTAAAAAATCGAATCCTTGAAGTGGTTTAATCCGGATTATTAGTCGATACACCTTACATTTGTTTGTAGTCTTGTTTTTAGCTTAGAGCATTCCTCTCTGTCTGAGAATCTGTAATTTGAACATGTTCTTGAAATCAAATTGACTGTTCGTATTTCGTTCGGACAACATCTCGAGAAGTGGTGTCTGTAGCCTGTTGATCGGCCTTCTCCTATATGATGATATGTTTGTTCGAACAGTTCTACAAAAAGGGTGCATACATATTCGACCTAAGTGCTGACAAGGAAATCGAATATTCTTTTGGACTCGGAACTAGATCATTAACTAAGGTGAATTTTGTCTTATTAATAGGGAACTAGATCATTAGTATTTGGGGTTGAAAATCGAATCAAGTTATTTGATACTCGATACTCAATTTGAGATTGATCATTAACGCTTGTTTGAGCTCGATTTGTTAACATAATGGACCAAAATTAACATCAACTTTCGTTCAACAAGCTATGAAACTCGACTCGAACAGAAAAAAGAAATAAAATGGTGAAATATGTACAAAAAATAAAGTTATATATGCACAAATATAATCTTTAAAACTCGATAAAAAATGAAATAAATTTGGGTCAATTACAACTGCCTCCCTGAGGTAAGGTATATTTACAAAAAACCCCTCGTTTTCCGAAATTACATCCGCCCCATGCAATTTGTAGATTTCTTACATTGACACCATTTTGTTGGGGTGGATGTAAGAAATTTACAAACTTCAGAGATCTGAATGTAATTTCTTAAACATAAGGGGATTTTTTGTAATTACAACTTTGTGTTCGACTGGACTGGACTTGTTTGGTGAATTAGTAATTGGCCCATCGTTGCGAGCCTGGTTACAATGGGCTTTTTATTCCCGGCCCGAATAAAATGGAAATGACACTGAGCGGCGCACAATAGACAAACTGGGGGCGAAATTCTAAAATGCTCCGTTGTAAGCCCTAATTGGAGCCGCTCCACCACTTATAAATAATCGCCGTCTCGCCACCCATAAACCACCACCAACTCCGCCGCCATTTCCAATCTCGAGTTACGCATCTTCATTCACGCCGCTCCTTGCAGACAATCGATACTTCAGGAAAAAAATGGCTACTCAAATTGCAGACAATCGTAGTTTGTGGCGGACGGAGTGTTCTTCGCCGAGTTGCTGACGTGGAGAGCTGCCGGAGGATGGTTACTCCGGCGTGGAGGTTAGGGTTACACCCGTGCGCACCGCTCGTACTCAGAATGTACTCGGTAAAATAAATTCTACATTTTTCATCAATTTACACTTTTGATTAAAGTTTTCATATTTGGTTTATTTATTTAATTTTGTAATTAGGTCAGAAAGGCAGTTACTTAACAGTTGCATATCTCAAAACTTTTTATTTTGCAATTAATTAACACAGCATTTGTTTAATCACTTTACTTTGTCCAGATTTAGTTGGGCTAAGGATAAGATGAACCAATGCTAAAATTAATTCGGAGTTAGGTTGGCTCCTTTACTTAAACAAGTGTACTGGGGTTTTCAAAATACTCCCACATAGATCTATTGAAAATTCTTCGATCTTTATTTAACTATTGCTATTTTATATTTAATAATATACAGCATTTTGTTATACACTTTGCTCTGTCTGGATTTAATCGGACCGAATACAAAATGAACTGATGCTAACATTGAATCGGTGGAGTTAGGTTGGCCCGTTTACTTGCTCAAGTGTAATAGGGTTTTCTAAATACTCCCACATTGTTATATTGGAAGTTTCGATTTTTTTTATCGTAGCTGTTGAGATTTGTGTTTTCCTTGTAGAGTGAAATTGTAATGTACTAAATGCTTAAAATTTACATTTAGAATTATGTAACTGTGACCTAGCATTGATTGATTTTATTCCTTCGTTCCCGTATATTGGTTGGAAAGGATCCTCATCGAATGCTTATATGAACAACCGGAGTTAGTCTGGCTCCTTTGATTATTTCGTGATTTGGAGTTTAGAATATACTCCACACATACTAGTGGTGATTATATATATCTTATTTTATTTATTTATTCTTTGCTGTGAGATTGTATGGGTGTGTACGTCATTGTGTCATCTCAACTTAATGCAACAAGAATTGCTGTCTAATTGCATGCATTGATAATAAATTGCTTCCGACCCACCTTATGGGTTGAAATGGCTTTCTTACCGATGCATATATCAACCATTTTGGGGTTTATCAGGCTCCATCGACTTCTTTTCGTGTTTATGGAGTTTGGAAAACCGTCCTACATTTCATTTTCTTTTATTTAATTAAAGTTGTTGGATGATTTGATTCGTTACCCTTTTTAATCTTTATTATCTTGCCTCTCCTTTACCATTTTTTCTTATCATCAGAGCCTGCTATGGAGTCTTACTATTTGTTATGGAGATTGGTGCAAAGGGGTGTGAGTTAATTGCCAGTGGAAAACTAAGGACTCAGCCCTCAGCGAGCCAAATCCATGAAATTCGAAGACGGGTACATAATATCCTCTGGCCCTGTCAAACTTTTGCTGTGAAGCTGGCCATTTGATTTACGATCAAATTGGTTTTCTTACTTGGTTACGCATTTTTTTCCTGAAGGGCGTTCTTGGAATTGAATTTAAGATAATGCTCGACTGGGACCCGAAGGGGAAACAGGGTTCGATTACGCCTTCACCGGATCTTGTCACAATATATCCACCGAAAGAGGAGCACTATATTGCGCCACCAGTAGCTGCTGCTACTGATGTTGATATAGAAGGTGCGGTGTCCGAAGAAATTCTCTAAGCAGATGAAGGAATGTTATATATATGTAAGAGTGTGTGTGACGTGAAGTTATGTTGTGTAAATAGTGCATTTTGTTATAATGTGGCTGTATGATGTTTTTTGTTAGGAACTTTTGTAAGAATTTGTTTTTAATTAGTGGTTAAATAGGTTATTTAAATAAAAATGTTCTTCAATGGCTGATAAGATATTCTTGTTTAGTTTAAAATAAATTAAAATCTAGAAAAAAATGCTCAACTGTTCCTCGTGTGCGTAAGTCACGGTTTTGTAGGTGATGTGGATGATGAGTCTGGACATTCTCCACCAGCCTTCTCAATCCTAGTCCTCTTTTCAGCAAACCTTACCTTTGGTTTGGGGTGTGTCCACATAATCTGATGTGTATATTTAGACGTGTCGATTTGGAACGGGATGTCGCAATCTGCCGCGGGACCTGCTTGTACACATAGGCCCGCTTCGTCGGGATTCCGATTCCGTACATTGAGAACACCTCCAAGCCGGGGGAGCATTTGACAACCTGCATAAAACAAAATGATTAGAAAACAATATGGACATGTTTTTGTTTCGATCCTTCACAGCATCCTACATATATATAACATAACAGCCATTCAGACAATATCAATAGCAAAATCAAATGATATAACTTTTAACAATTATTAAAAAAAAAAAAAAAAAAAAGTTACCCTAAAATCAATCCTCAGAATCTCGGAAAAATCTGCCTTGGCCACGTCTTTTCCGAACGATACAATGGACATGTTTTTGTTTCGATCTTATGTTTCCATCTTCTTGTTAATTTGCTTTCTTTTGGTAGGAGAATATCTTTGGTACACAGACATAGTCGAACTCGAATCCCATGTCCTAGTCATCCTCATTATGTGGTGTAAAGTTTGTATCCGAATAAGTCCTTATCCAATACACCCGGTGCAATAGCCCCTACAATATTATTAACCGAAAGATAGTTAATTATTTAATTACGTCACACCCAAAAAACAAAATTTGACACTGTTTCTAAAATGTACCTGGCAACATCAATATCTCTATCTTCGGCGGAGAAAAGTCCAGAAACAGCTTTCGGAACACCTAAAAGGGGCCCACCGATGTTCATCACAGCCTTTATATGCTTAGCCTGCACCTCCACCCATTTCATAAAATGCAAAACTCCCATCGAATGTGGGATTATTACAGCCATGTTGCCACCATTTGTAGCAACCATTAGTTCGATATTACTTTTTATTATGCTTAGTGTCTGATCACGCACCTGCAAAAAAATTAAATAAAATATCAGACAAAGAATTAGCAAACAACCTTTTTTAATATGTTAACCATTAATTATTTTTCCTCTGTGTTTTGAAATGCGAGCCTCCAATCGCATGAGGCCATGTACATAGTTTTCTCTTCATATCCGATTCGAGCAAGATTAGCGATTAGAACTGCCCAAACAAAGTAACCTGGAGCAAAATAATCTGCAGCAACAAGACCAGTGACTGACCTGACTCTTACACCGGGTGGATCTAAGTCACTTTCGTTGTCCAATGACATATGCTCCACCAAACATAAAGGTCTACGAGGAAAAAAATATTTACAGACAACCTCGTAAGTAAGATGCAAGAAATGGTATTAGGATTGATGAAACATACATTCACTATAAAAAGCTTTTCGAGAAAAAGTGAACAATTGAGTTTCTTGCTTGAGTTGAAGCATGTGACGGAAAGACGTATACGAGGTTCTGATTCTTCACTAATTAATCTTTCCATCCACTCAAATCCGAGGTGTCAATGCAATCGTTCATTAACTGGCTAACATATTTCTTAGTCATCTACCCCGTTAATCTTACAAGCCAAACAATATATTTCCTTATACTCAACTAACTTCTCCCAACCAGAACTTTTCCCCTGCAATACTCTTCAACCAATTTTAATCTACTACCATATAAAGAGCAGCATGAAATATGAAAAACTGTTCACCTTTACCTTTTCAATATCATGACAAAACCCTCAAAATCTACAGGCAATCTATACATTTCCAAATCAATTCATTCCGAAAAACGAACAATTAGTGCCTTTCTTTTGTACCGGTTGTAGACTTCTCCAAAAGTGCCTCCTCACAGCCTTTGAGACTGAAGATTTTTCTGTCTGTTGTGGTTTAGCAGCACCTGTCACAACTTCAAACACAGTCGGGAGATCGTTCATCATGTTGAAAAGTCTCGAAAAACAGATCATCATCATCATCATCATCATCATCATCATCATCATATAACATGAAAAAAAAACGAGCAAAGCAAATGCTCGACTTTACTGCTTTCAGAGAGAAAACTGTTGAGTAACAATTTTCGAGCTAATAACATAACTTAGAAAATATTATAAATAAATATTATAGAGCCAAAGTAGAAGGCAACAGCAAAGCAGCCAAGCATCACTGTGGCCACAAACTAAAGATAGCCAGTCCTTTTCTTGCATACCATCTCTAGTAAAATTCTTCAACGTTTGCAAAATCAAAATTGATTTCCGATTGTGTTGACACAATTAATTAAACGACCTATGCTACACCCGGTAAAATACACCGAGTGATTTTTAACCATTGATATCGCCATGTGTACACAACCCAATGTCGTATCTAACTACTCCATAAACATTTATATTGAATATAACGAACACAATTATTTTCTAATTTCATGAATTAGAACTACTAAATGAATCAAGGTTCGTTCATAAATTTGGCCTTCAAGGAACTGCCACGTAGAAATGAAGTAAATGGTTCTTAACGATGGTATTTGATATATACATTTGAAGTTGCTATGGACTTCTTAAGAAAAAGAAAAAAAATGTTGTGGAAAAAAAATGTTATGGATTTCATTAGTGCCTTGCCGACGTCCGAGGGGGCCGCATCTATCATGGTGGTGATAGATCGTTTTTCAAAATATGGGCTGTTCATAGCTTGCCCGAGGGATTGCACCGCGGATGAGGCAGCCCGGTTCTTTTTCAAGAACGTCGTCAAATATTGGGGACTACCGAGAAGCATCATAAGCGATCGAGACCCACGCTTCACGGGGCGATTGTGAACGGAGATTTTCAAACTTTTGGGGTCCGAGCTTTGCTTCTCGACAAGTTTTCACCCCCAAACCGATGGGCAAACAGAGAGAGTGAACGCCCTACTCGAGTGCTACTTACGGCACTTCGTGGGAGCCAATCAAAAAATTGGGCGAAGCTCCTCGATGTGGCTCAATTTTCTTACAACTTGTAGCGGAGTGAAGCCACGGGGAGGAGTCCATTCGAGCTTGCAACGGGACAACAACAGCTTACGCCGCATACTTTGGCTACGGCAACCGATGGAAGGAGTCCCGGAGCATTCAAGATGGCTAAGTCGTGGGAGGAACAAGCCGACTTAGCCCGGGCGTGCCTTGAGAAGGCTAGACGACGAATGAAGAAATGGGCGGACGACAAACAACGACCGGGAATTCGACGTTGGGGCCCAAGTGATGGTGAAACTATTGCCCCAACAATTCAAGGCGTTGAGGAGCATGCACAAGGGACTTGTGCGAAGGTACGAAGGACCATTCCCGGTGATCGCCAATGTCGTCAAAGTTTCGTATCGCCTAGAACTTCCAAGTTCTTTGAAAATCCACCCGGTCTTCCATGTGAGTATGTTGAAGCCTTATCACGAAGACAAGGAAGACCCGAGCCGAGGAGAGTCGCACCGAGCACCACCCATCATGACTAAGTCATACGATAAGGAGATCGAGGAAGTGCTCGGCCGACAATTGAAGCGACGTAGGGAAGTTCCGCCGAGTATTCAATACCTCATCAAATGGAAGGGATTACTCGAGTCCGAGGCAACGTATGAGACGAATGAGGACTTGTGGCGATTTGAAGATCGTCTCCACTTGTTCGAGGCAACGAGGACGTCGCCGGATTGGGCGGGGGAGGATGTAGGTTGGGGAGGTTAAGAAGACCAAGATTTAGCCCAAACAGGGTTAGGCCCAAGTTGGCCCAAATGTATAGAGGTAGGTAGGGGTAGGTAGAGATATTTTAGGAATTCTTTGGAGTGTTCTAGAGAACCACTCCCAATCGTTAGATAAAATAGATCTCCACCGTCCATGGAGGAGGTGGACTTGTATAGATAGAGGTAGGATCCTCATTTGTAATCATCCAAGAAATCCAACAACAAAAGAAATCCAACAAGCACTTAAACAATAAAGTACTTTCATACAAATTCTAAGGCCGGTTCGTTGTTAAGGAACAAGTCCGTGAATAACTTCGGATTTTCTTGAAAAAAAATGGCTGCACTCTACTCCTCGTCGCCTGAAACCAAATAACCAAACATAAATAGCTTCGGATTTTCTTGAAAAAAAATGGCTGCACTCTACTCCTCGTCGCCTGAAACCAAATAACCAAACATAAACGATCATCAATAAAAAGAAATAGGGCAACCACCCAGTATCATTGGATATCGCAAAAAACAACAGTAGAATTTCACCTCCCCTCTTAGATCTCTTTTTGGGTCTTTTGTCGAATTTCAAGTGACGTTATTTGATTAATTAGAATGGATTTGGACTGTTGTTTCTTCACCAACTCAGAGGGCATGTTCACTACACTATTCCATACATCGCTCAACAGATGCCCTAGATAATACGTATCTGATCTGACTCCATGGCAACTGCTCCATGGCGATTCGATACGACGAATCGACAAGGTCAGGGGCGGAACCAGGATGAAAATATAGGGGGCTAACTAAAATTTCGGGGATCGGGGCAGCGCCCCGAAAAAAAATTTAGGTTCACAATACATTGCAAAAATAAGTTTATATTGATATGTTTTCATTAAAATGTGATATATTTTATAATGTTATCGTATTTTAAGCATGACAAAAAAATCTAAATTAATTCAAATTATTCTAATAATGTATCGTACTTAATATTTTGGGGATTCATGGCATCGTCTCATATTATTTTTTAGAGTTATTGATAAAAAAATTCAAAAGTAAGTAAATAGTCATAAATTTTATTTCAAATAATACAAGTTTTTACCAATTATAATATATATATATATATATATATATATATATATATATATATATATATATATATATATATATATATATATATATATATATATATATATATATATATATATATATATATATATATATATATATATATATATATATATATATATATATATATATATATATATATATATATATATATATATATATATATATATAAAATTAAGGATAGATACATATTTGTAAAAATTTTAGGGGGGCCAAAAGTAATATTCAAAAAATATAGTACCAAAATACCTAAAAAAAAATTAAATCTTGGGGGTTCAACAGCCCCAGCCCCTATTAAGTTCCGCTAGTGGACAAGGTGTTGTTTTAAATGGGGGAGAAAGAGAATTGGCGATTTGGGAGAACGAACAACGAGACGGTTGAAATGGATTAAAATAGATGAGCCAAAACAATTAAATTAAATTAAATTTATGAGATCAATTTCACGATTAATACGGGCCAAAACAAATTGGGTAATGGGCCGAAGCAATGTGCGAATTCAAACTCATTGTATTCGGGTCAAGTTGTCCATAATAACACGCTTTTGATTAGATAATCAAGCAGCGCTTTCAGTCGAACTCTCCAGATTGAAGAAGCCCTATAGCCATAGCTGCAGCCACAGGAGACCTTCTGCTGCTGCCTCTCCGTCGTCTCACTCGTACAACAAACACCATCTCTAACTCTATATCGAGTAATTTCTCTCTCCTCTCTCTCTCTCTCTCTCTCTCTATATATATATATATATATATATATATATACACACACACACACACGCGCGCGCGCGCCTGTATATACATTTGTGGATTCACTTTTTGAGTGCGAATGTGGTTTAATTGCTTAATTTCTAGCTCGTTGTACTTGAATCCTGTTGGTTTTTGTGTTTTTTTCTATCTGAAATCATAGGTTAATTTAATGCCTTTTACATCTGAGGTTTAATTTTGTATCCAAAGCTGAATTTACTGATCGAAAGAGTGTTGTGTCAATTGTTTTGGATTGTTTCAGGCATATATTTAAGAAAAGATGGGGATCATTGAAAAGATTAAGGAAATTGAAGCCGAGATGGCACGGACTCAGAAAAATAAAGCCACAGGTAATTATTATTATTGCTGTTTATCAGTTTTGGATTGCGCTTGTTTATTTAATTGGCAATGTCTACGAATTGTGTTTTCTATTTCGACTGCTGGGATGGAAGAAGCTGGGTGTGTTTGTTATATATTGGACGAATTGAATTTTGAAACATCTATGCAATGGTAAAGAAAGCTGTGTGGAAGTGTTACGTTTTTCAATAAACTGTCAATTGGCTGTACTGAAGCATTAATTTTTGGATTTTTCTATTACATGCTGTAGTTGATCATGATGCATACTTTTTTTCGTACTCGGTAACTTCAGAGTTTGTTATGCTTATGTTGTCTAGTATTAGACACAGTCCTGATACTGATCCATTTAATTCAACTGTGCAGAATATCATTTGGGCCAGCTCAAGGCTAAGATAGCGAAGCTGAGGACACAATTGTTGGAGCCCCCAAAAGTATGAAACTTATAAACTTTCTCTATTTTTTTTGTCTGATAAATCAAAACAAGTTTGCTATGCTTGGTTTCATGCGTGGAATATGGGTTCTATTGGAAAACATTCCTCCTACAAATTCTTATACCCTATTTGTTTTCTGGCTCACTAATCAGTTTCTGAAATTAGCACATTCTGATAATTCTTCCATAATGAATCAGGGTTCTAGTGGAGCTGGCGAAGGTTTTGAAGTTACAAAGTTTGGCCATGGACGTGTTGCATTGATAGGTTTTCCCAGGTTTGTTCTCTGATTACTACAAAACGCAGACATTGAAAACGAGAATGAAGGAAAATTATAACTTCTGGCTATAGTATTAAGCTTTGATCTTAGTTAATAAGATGGTTATTTCTCCTAAATAAGAGGCTTATATGACTACTACTTTCTGTCATGTGATGCCACTCCATAACTATGTCATTCTTGTTCTGTAGGCTTGTTCAGTTAAGGTTGCTTATCCGCATATTTTCCAGCTTTATGTAGTATACTTGTAATCAAGACATATATATTGTTATTTCAGTGTAGGAAAATCAACACTTTTGACAATGTTGACGGGAACACATTCGGAAGCTGCGTCATATGAGTTTACCACTCTCACCTGCATCCCCGGTATTATTCACTACAATGATACTAAAATACAGTTGCTCGATCTTCCTGGAATCATAGAAGGTGCATCTGAAGGAAAAGGGCGTGGTAGGCAGGTTAGCAATTCAAATACAATTGATAGCACTACTTGTTATGTACCCAATGACACTGAATGAAGCAAACTTGATCAAAACCCTGATACAAACTTTTTGACTTTGATTTCAGGTCATTGCTGTCTCCAAATCATCAGATATCGTGTTGATGGTTTTGGATGCGTCGAAAGTAAGTTGTAGTACTATCAGCTGCTATTAGATAATAAGTGGATTTTCTTTTTTATCACCACCATTCTGTTCATTCTCAGTTATAAAATCGAAGTCCTCAATTTTGAAATGTTTAAGGTATGCATGCTTCTATATGTTAGTGCCTATGTGCGAATACATCTGTCACCATTCGACGGTTAACAATAGAAAAGTTACTAGTTAGTTTTAGTCGACGATAGTTGCTAGCTGTTGCAAATTGCAACAATATGAGCACAGTGCATCAGAACATAGATGATTATATACACAAATGTATGGTTCAACAGATACTCCAAACATTGTTATGATAGCCTGTCAATTCCAATGCCAATATCTATTGGCTGCTAATGTATTTTTAATTTTCTGGAGAACTCATGACTTCAGGAAGAACTAATCGGTAATATTTGTTGTCTATTTGGTGTTTTTGAGGTGAATTCAGACTCACATATTTTTGCTTGTATTAAATTTTTGTTGATGCTAAAGAAGGTTGAGGTTGATCATTTAATGAAATAAATGATTTCCTTTCAAAATAATTTGGTTTTGATATCAGCATAGTTAAATTGTTCTGTCCCTGTCTTTTTAATATTTGATATCTAATTATTTACGAACTAATAACTGCTAAGTCTATATATTATCATGTAGTTATCCGTGTGTTGATTTTTCATTTTTTTTCCGATATCTTATTATATTGTTATTATCTGGTGCATTGATTCCAATATTTTCCTTTTGCATGCTAACCTTGAAATTTTTAGAGTGAAGGTCATCGACAAATCTTAACGAAGGAGTTGGAAGCTGTTGGCTTACGACTAAACAAAACACCACCCCAAGTAATGTATTCTAAGCATTTGCCGTAGCATCTTATTTTGCATTTCCTTAGCACTTGGTTGCCTTTTATGAGTTCAATTATAGGCTTGCATGGCTTTGAGCTGAAGGCTCTTTTGGGAAGTTTGGCAAAAAGATGATCTCAATATTTCTGATGTTTGTTTAAATAGTTGTCTTGATTCTCAGAGTATTGGATTTATGCACGTCCCTATTTAGTAAGAATAAGTTTTGGTTAGGGCATCAGGTGTTTGAGCTGGTCATGGATCTGACCTTTGTACATATTCTTCAACCAACTGCCTCTACCTTATTTCTACACCCTAATGCCTCTCAGCATAAGGGACGTGGCTTGGGATCTGGACCTAGATAGATTTTTAGTTGGTAAATGTGGGCTCAAAGTTGTGGTATTTTGGAGAAGGGCAATTTTCGGTAGGTTACGACTTATGGGGCAGGGTGAAACCATCCAAACCCAACCAGCTTGCACACTCACGAATACACACACATGTTTTTGAGAAAAGTGTATAGTTATATGCGAACTAACATATAAACATAAATATGATATTCTTTCAAATTAAAGGAAGATTGAAAATCTCAAAAATACTTTATTTTTTCAATTTAGGCAAAAAAATTCTCTGATATGTTACATATTAAATTTCCAGAAATGAAAGAATGCATATGTAAGTTTGCAATAAATGCTTCTTCATCAATAACATTGTTCTTTTAATATTTTGAATGTTTTATGATATTTAAAAAAATCAAAAGTTAAACGACTTACTCCATATTGTTATGATATAGTAGAAAGGTGGACTTACATAGGAATTAGTTATTCTTCAAAAAGTGTGCTTAGTATTTAGTAGTTGTTTTTTGGATCCTTAGGTACAGAGTGATATAGAGCCTTCAGCTGCTCAACATTCTGTTGTAAACAATTTGTTGACTTTTTGGGCATTTGCACTCGCTGTTGCATCTCTACATAATGGAATGGGAAGTACACAAAAGTAGTTTAGTCCAACAGGGAAGCATCATATTATCAACGAGGTTTTTCAGTTGAGGAAAGTAGTCTTATCATAGAACAATCAGAATAGAAGGACCACATTGAGTTTCTGAGTAGTCTCTGTTAATTCTTCTTTGAATGTGGACTCGGTACTTAATTTGATCATTACTTCTGGATCTGCTTGCTAACAGATATATTTCAAAAGGAAAAAAACGGGGGGAATTTCTTTCAATAGCACTTTAGCGTTGACTCATGTGGATGAGAAGCTATGTTATCAAATATTACATGAGTACAAGATTCACAATGCAGAGGTACTCTCTCTCTCTCTCTCACTCTCTCTGAGTAGTCTCTTCCTCTTTGAATGTGGACTCGTTACTTAATTTGATCATTACATGAGTCCCGATACTTGTGTTTCACTAGTTCTAGTCTTTTGTGCACTGAATTTTCACTGGGTTTACTATTATATACGTGTAATTAGTGCTATGTTCTGGGTCTAGAAGGAGAACTCTTTAATTTTTTTAGTTCTACTTGTTTGGTAAATATTACTATATGAAGGCTTCAACAGTTACCACCAACATCCATGCTGACATTTTTTAATTAATTTTTGGAAGGTTTTGTTTCGTGAAGATGCAACGGTGGATGACCTTATAGATGTTATTGAGGGGAATCGCAAGTACATGAAGTGTGTATACGTATATAACAAGATTGATGTTGTTGGTATTGATGATGTCGACAGATTAGCACGGCAGCCTAATTCTATCGTTATCAGCTGCAACATAAGCGTACGAATCACTCACTTCTGCCATTAGACAACACAATTATTTTTCAGATTATGAAAATTGTGGCATTGCCTAAAAACACCTATCCTTATCTTATGGTTATGTCGCTTCCACAGTTGAATCTGGACAGACTGCTTGCGAAAATGTGGGAAGAGATGGGTCTTGTCAGAATATATACAAAGCCTCAAGGCCAGCAACCCGATTTCTCGGACCCAGTGGTCCTTTCTGCTGTATGCCCCTGAATATTGTAGTACATATTCTTTATGTGGAATTTTGTGTTTCTCTCGAATTGATTTAGTTTGAATCTCATGTTTGTATTTTGCTTCGCTTTTTATGATAAGAAATGTTCCACTTTTCTGTTTCGAGTTTATAGTTTTGGAATTCAAATTTCAGGGTAGAGGTGGATGCACAGTCGAAGATTTCTGTAACCACATTCATCGGAACCTGGTTAAGGATGTGAAGTATGTTTTGGTATGGGGCATAAGTGCAAGGCACTGTCCACAACATTGCGGTCTTAGTCATGTTCTTGAGGATGAGGATGTTGTACAAATAGTCAAGAAAAAGGTACACTTTTTTCTTTTTTTTTTTTTTTTTTTTTTTTTTATCTTCTCCATTTTCGACGACTTATTTCATTCGCATTCGTCAAGTTCATATACTTTTATGAAGGGTATTACCTAATACAATCACAAATCTCAAAATATAAGACGAACATCATTCATAAAAGGCATTCGATATCTTATTGTAGGAGAGAGAAGATGGAGGAGGCAAAGGTCGGTTCAAATCGCACTCGAATGCTCCTGCTCGAATTTCTGACAGAGAAAAGAAGGCTCCTTTGAAGACGTAAACCGAATTTGCTCAATATAACGGTGGATGAATTGAAGAGTTTACATAGCCGAATTTTCAGACAGGTTGAGAAAACCAATTCATATGTTTCATCATATGTAATTTTGATGAGTGTTCGTTCATCTATTTTGAAGATTGGTTATGTTACGAAAGCATTTGTCGGGATAGTAATTCGCCCGGTCTATTGTGATTTAATTATGGTGATTTTGATACCGGTGAAATCGAAAAGGACTAAAGTGACAGCATCTTTTTGTGCTTTTATCAACTTAAATTCACAACCAAAAACTTGAACTTTTTACTTGTAGTTGGTGATTTTTATTCCTTGTAATTTCTTCTACATGTAAGATACGTATTTGTTTTCAGAAAAACAAAAAAGTTTATTATGTATTTTTAATAAGAGAAGTAAGAAAAATTCAACGATAATTTGGACATAATATATGGATATTACTTATTGAAATATTCTAGATTCCCCGCAACCCCTCATTTTCATGGCAAAAATTCTCATGGAGACTAGCATGTGGCGATCAATTAGAAACGCGGTTAATGAACTTCAGTTGACAGAAAAAAAAGTGTGTTAAGAAGGCGAGTAAAAAAAGGTTCAGTTGCAGGCAGATCTCGACGCTATACACGGAGAGATGAAGTGATCTGTTGAAGAAGAATTGAACCACCTGATGAACGTCCGTCGGTCCGTAGCTGACCAGCGAAACGCATTGAAAGAGTTGATGGTGAAATTTTTTTGAGGAGGATTGTACAATTGAAGTGACGGTTCCGGATGATTTGTCTGCTATTTTTCGCTTGAAGAACGATTATGGGGTAGCATTTGAGGGATGTGAATTAGGGGAGTAAACGATTCTCGACAATGCTGATTAATTTACTCGCGTAATTCTTACATAAATTTCGGGATAGAGGATTAGGAGAACGGAGTAGTGAACTGTACGTCGACACTTGCAAGACATAACGAACTTCAAAATCGAAAGGTGAATGGTTATTTTCTGGATGGGGTTTCTCTTAGAGTTTTAGTAATGAAAGGATCGAAAAGTTGAGGATTAGTATTGGCATTATTACAATGGGTAATTGGCACTTAAATTGAATAAATAGCACTTTGCACCCTCCAATTACTATTTGCTTGGCACTTTGCACCCTAACTGACCTACAACCGATTGTTGTGGGGGTTTCACGAAGGGCAGATTTGTCTTTCTTACTTGTTACAAACTTAAATAGAGTTCTTTTACGTTTCTTCTTCAGCAATTTAACCATTCCATTTACTCAATTTGAATTACAAACTTAGATAGAGTTCAGATTGCTCGTTATATAAATTTCCCCAGCTGCTACACCATATATAAACAAACAAAACTACAAGCATATGCAGTAGCAGTGACAGCCAATGAAGCCATATATCAGAATAAAATATGCTAATTTTCACATTTAGCATAAAAATAAAAGGAGAAAGATACATAAGAAGATTTTCCTTATGGGTATCTTCCAATTCTTTAATATGGAGTTCAGTATCATAAAATCAATAAGTAACTCTTATAACTATATTATTATTGCAAATATAATTCTTGGTGTTTTTACTTTTAATCAGAAAACAAAAGTATGAGTTGTTTTCCAAATTTAAATCCAAAAGAAATAAATAATGAACAAAATATCTAAGTCGGATAGTTCGCTTTCAAACTTTTTTCGATCAGAGGAGTGCAATAACAAATATGAAGTGATCACGGTCTGAAAAGGGTATGAAGTCCCTGAAGAAGAAGAACGGTAAAGGAAAGAAATTTAAGTTTGTGAGAAATTAGAAAGACAAATATGCCCCGCTTCAAACGTGATGAAATCAGTTTTTTTAGCAAAAGAGTGTAGTAGGAGGGTGCAAAGTGCTATATATTGTTTCAATTTAAGGGTGTAAAGTGTCAAAGGCATGTAATTCAAGGGTGCAAAGTGCCAATTACCCTTATTACAATTATGCATTTTACGTGCTAATTATTTACTCGCCTAGTTCTTACATAACTGTCGGGATAGAGAATTAGGCGAACGGAGTAGTGAACTGACAACACTTGTAAGACAGAATGAACTACCAACTTCAAAATCGAAAGGTGAATAATGGCTGTTTTCTGGATGGGGAGATGGAAGAGATTTTGTAATTCAAGAAATAACGGAAGAATATAATTTTGTTTAGGAGGATTTCTTTTTGAGTTTTAGTGATGATGAAAAGGATCGAAAAGTTCAGCATCCGTATTGCATTATTACGAATTTACGATTATGCATTTTACATGCTTTTTCTTGACCTCTATTTATTTTTAATAATCTTATTATTATTAATCTTTTTGATCAATGGAAGGTTCTTTATTCGATTAATGTATCTTCTTGTTGCTATGACGACTGGGCAACGAGGCTTTATATTTCAGTTATTCGATATTTTTGAATTTAATCGTCATCCCCCGGTAAAATTTATGGTCTCGTCTACATATCATAGGAGACGACCCCTCAATTAATTTATGCACGCGGATCTTTACATTTAAATTCGTACCGTCGTATTTCATATATCAACGTTTTTTGTTTAAAGCTTTATTGCTTAGTGTCATTTTACTGCTAATTTCCCTCTTTAACTTCTCGTTTATCGCTAATTACGTCGTCAATGTGGGTATCTAATTATGGCGTGGTAAAGAACTCACTCTTTTATCTGTATTCACTTCTGTTGCTTATTATGCATTCACCACTGTTCTGAATTTAATTACCTTCTGGTTAGTTACTGTAAATGCTTAATTCTTTATTACAGCCCAATTTCTATTGACGCCCAAATATATTTAAAATAACTTAAAAGCTATTTAGGGAAGTGAGCTTATTTATCTTTAAACAAGATAATATATTAGTTCACGCTTACCTCAGAAACAAAAGAATAATGCCCACTTGAACTAGATATGTTTGACCACCTTCTTTGGGCTATATTTCTATTTAATTATGGTAATTAATTTCTCGTTAGGTCATAAATTTAATTGTTAATTAAGCTCTAGATAAATATATTGATGGCAACAGTAGAATTTATTATATTCATATAAATTTGTAATAATTGGACTTACTTAAATATTGAGAAAAAAAAAAAAACCATAAAATGATACAGTTCAAGATTGGCCTCTGTCAATTATCAGTTACTCCAGAGAAGGCAATCAACGTAGACAATGCCCGCAGATCGATCCAGTTCGCTTCCAAACGAGGCGCGGCGCTTGTCGTTTTACCTGTAAGTTCAAAGAGGCCAACTCCCTAATTGGATTTTTAGATTTTTCTGTTATTACAAGCTCTAAGAACTGTGAATTCTTATTCTTGGAAGGAAATGTGGAACTGCCCTTACTCGACCGATTATTTCGAGAGATTTGCCGAGAAATTCGACGAAAAAGACAGCACTGCATCATCCTTGAAAATGTTGTCTGAAGTTGCTTGTGAAGAAAGGATAACAATAGTTGGTGGTTCAATTCCTGAATGGAGTAGTGGTGGTAAGCTGTACAACACTTGCTTCGTGTTCGGACCTAACGGAGATTTATTAGCTAAACATAGAAAAGTAAGGGATCTCTTTCCACTTAAAATGCAGAATAAATCAAGATTAGATAATTAATGATCGTTTCTTGCAGATGCATTTGTTCGATATTAATGCTCCGGGGGATATCTCATTCAACGAGTCAGATACGTTTTCGGCTGGATCTTCGCCCACCATTGTCGATACTCGTGAGATTTTTTAATCTTCGTGTACCATAATTGTGTGAATCTTGAACAATGTGAATACATCTATCTCGTGTATTTTTCTTAAGATGCAATGTTTAATGTACAGATGTTGGTAGAATCGGAATAGGTATTTGCCACGATATACGTTTCCCCGAGCTCGCAATGTTGTACAGAGCTAGAGGTATTCTTTTCTTCCTTAAATTCCACAAACTATTGCTGTAATAAATAAATAAAAAATCGGTACGATTATAAATAGGTGCTCATTTGATTTGCTACCCTGGAGCTTTCAACATGAGTACCGGTGAAGCACTATGGGAACTGGAGCAAAGAGCAAGGCATGTATTTTAATTAGTCTTTATCAACATTTTCGTTCGATCTTTTCAATTTTTCTTCCAAAAATTAAATTATTTTGTTTTTTTTTTTGGAAAATTTCAGGGCATTGGATAATCAGGTACTTTGATCACGAGTCGATATTTGGTGAAACTTTTGATGTTTTGTTTATATGCAAATGAATTCACCGTATGCAATTTCTTGTTAGTTGTTCGTTGCGACTTGCTCACCGTCTCGGGATTCTAATGGTTCATATCAGATATGGGGTCATTCTACTCTTGTTAATCCGGTATGTGACGACTAAATTAAACTTTCTTTTTCACTTTGAATAAATATAAGAACGATTGATCGACGGACTAGGTAACTAGATTATGTTGATTGATCGATTAAGCAGTAGTGTGGTGAAACGAAAGGTTTACGGAAATTCGATAGCAACATACAACAAGTACTTAATATGTTGATTGTTTATGCCAATTTGATCAGTTGGGTGAAATTATCGCAACCTCGGAACATGATCAAACAATCGTAATTGCTGAAGTTGATTATTCTGCAATCCAATCCACAAGGTAATTAATGATTTTTTCATAATCTTTTTTCGGTTTTTGTTGTGTAATGTCTAAAGCTTCGTTTTATTGTATATAAATATTTTTGTTTACTGTTTCCAGGGAAAGCATCCCGATTCTGAAGCAACGGCGCAACGATGTGTATCAGTTGATTGATCACCATACTATCTGAATGCAGCATCTTCTTGGTTATAACTTATAAATATCTTCTTATTTAAATTTATTTAAATTTAAGTAGTTGATTAATAAAACAACATAATTAAAAGTCTACATTCAATAAAAATGTGAGAAATAAATAATCAAATTCAGTAATTTCACTTGCTAGAAATGAAGTTTTGGGCTTAAGCCCAATTTCAAGCCCACGATTCAACTTTTCGAAGTCTCCTTGTTGATACTTTCTATTTACAGTATAATCTTAATAAATTAATACTCGATGAATTAGTAGTCTTGCTTAAGTAATAATTTCTTTTGGTCCCGACTCGGTAAAAATGTATTAAATTATCAGTTCGACAATTTAATATTTCGCAAAAGCAATATAATTTTGTTAGTCCATACTGTATTAATTTATAGAGGCTTAATTGTACGTATTTTAACTTCAAATTTTCCTTTGCGGATCCTGTAATTGGATAATATTTCAATTCCAGAAACTCAAATATAATAATATATTAATTTACTCGTTCAAAAAATAAAAAAAAAATAAAATATATAGTTAAATTTACAAAGACTTGAAAACAAAGTTATAAGAGATTATTATGAAAATGACTTGAGCATGGAATCCTACTTCTTTTATTCATCATTGATGCTTTGGTTTCACACCTTTCTCCCTCCATTTCATCAATAAAAAATCTCACATGAAAAATGAATAAATAAAAAAATGAAGAAATTAAATCATGTTTCTTTTATTTTATGCACCTATAAATTCAAAGGAATTAAATAGTAGAAAAGTCTTTCATATTGGAAAAATATTTGTGACAAGGACTTATGCCTAAACTTTAGTGTATAAACACAAAGAAACAAAATGAAAGCCGTTATCAACTATATCTTTTTGCAAACCTTTCATTTTCATGATAAGTATATGTATTTATTTCATAATCTTTGATAATTAGCCCAACGAGAGGGGTTTAATTGTCTTAATCATATCATAAAAACACACCGAAAATTGGACTTTAATTAGTGTGGAAGAAAGAAACGTTTCCGCTTTAACTTTCTACTTTTGGTACTTCGATATTTTAATTAAGTATTCCTAAAATAAATAAAGAATAAACTTATTCCATCTCTTGTTCTAACATCGTAGATCTTGTGTACCATAAATGTATATTAGTGGTCAAATCTACGTTAATTCAGTAAAATTTGACACTACGTAGATCTTTGTTATTTATCTACGTACCAACATAAGTGTATTAATTTTTTTTTTCATAAATAAATGATAAAAAGAGTCATGAAAGAGAAACCTAATTGGATAGTGACACAAGCTTTTGTTGCACTATGATATGTGACAAAATCTATGGTAGGGCATTTCCTAAATCAATTTGAAAACTACCCATAATTTTAATTTGGACAAAATTCCCACCTAAGTGCCATAACACCTTACACACTTCAATATCACCCCATAGAAAAAATGAAATTGAGTCTTAATCAGCAAATATTTTTATAATTATATGCATGACTCGACAAGTTGAGACACGTGCCTAAACACGGAGAATAAATGGATCCAAATAGCATATAAATGCTTCGAGACTGAAGCTTAAATTCCAGCAGAATACAGTAACGAAGGAGACGCCAAAGAAAGAAATAATAGTAAAATAAATCCAAATTATCATAAAGAATAAAGTGGCTTAGAATTGATATCACATATTGTACGACACATTTTCTTTTTATTTTTTGTCCAACGATAAAAAAAAAAAGAAAACGCATTTGTATTATTTGCAATGTCATGTAAGAACACAAATGAATGACAATCTTCTAGGGATCACCAAAAAAGAATAAATTATATTCTCACATTCCATCTTTATTCACTAATTGATAAAGCTGCCCTGCCTTGTCTCTTCTTTCTCCACCACTTACAAATTCTTCTCTCTTTTTTTTTTTCTCAAATTTGTACCTCATCTTTATTCACTAATTGATAAAGTTTTGAGTAATCGAAAATTCAAAATGTAACTCATTTGTGCACAACTTTGTTGGCCGATATCCAACCTAGCTGATAAGTTATATTAGAAAATTAGCTCAAAGTACTAGATTTCAAATCATTTGAATTTTAACCAAAATAAGATCATCGAGGGGGTCAAAATTACGTTCAAACTCAACACAGTATAACTAAAACAACATTTACCATTTCAGTTTTCTTATTAAAAAAAACTCCCATTTATTTTTTCTTCTGTTGTAATATGGTTTTATTAAATGGGTAATAATATACGCAGGCCAAATTAAACATTCAGGCACTTTTTTACCATATTTTTTTACTTTTATTACCATAACTATTTACCTTTTGTACTATTCCTACCCAATTAAAAATAAAAAAAAATTAAAAAAAAAATTAAATTGTTGTGCTCGTGCAAAAACATGCGAGCATGTCAACAGTGGTCGTCTGATATCACACGAGCACTGTTGG